AATGCAAAATGTTTTTTTTTTTTGTACAATTTTGGCTTAATTACTGCTCCAACTGTTTGTTGTCCTTTCAGTAAATCGCCTTCGATTACTAGATTAGTGAATGATTATTTCAATAATTGATTCATCACAATTGTTTCAGCCCTAGTTTCAAGTATCACTTTTCTGCAGAAATTGTCTTGTTAGCACCTCACAACACCGTGTTTGTGGCTCAGAAAAACTAAGCTACGTTTAAGAAAAATAGGAATTATAAAAATCAGGCTGACGAACAGGTGGGACGATGCTGTTCGAGCTCATTTCTCACAGTTCATAAACCGTTAAAGAAATTGGTTTTATTTTTGGACAAAATACTTAATCCACACTTTAAAAATTTTAAACATACCCATTTACATATAATCTAATGCATCCTAAAAAGTTCTCCCTCCCCAGGTTTTAGACAAAAAGCTGCATTATCACGTCTGTTAAAAAGTTAACCGCCCCCTGATTGGCTGCTCAAACAGCTGCTTAAACATAAAAACCTCCCACTGAGATAAAATCTAGGCTGTAAATAATCATCTCTATCAGACTGTTGGGCCGATTTCCTACCTGAACATCACTGGCCAGCGTTTCATACGTGTCCTTGAGGCAATGCCAGTTCTGCCGGCCGAGCGTGAGCGCCACGCCAGGCAGGCTGAAGGCACAGTGTTTGGCTATCTCTGTGTCCACCGTCTGCGCCCGGGCCGGGTCGGTCATGGAGAGGTACTGATCCAACAGCTGCTGGGGGATAACGTTCTGCAAACGGAGCACAGAGAGTAAGATTAAAAAAAAAAAATCATGTGAAAGAGAAAATGTGTGGAATATTTACAGGCCGGCGTTTTTAAACTGACCTGGATTTTCGGTTTGTCCTCAGACCCTCGGGTTTGTATCACCTCTACCTCCTCTATCTCTATGGGTTCGTCTGATTCAGACTCCTGGGAAAAATGAAAATACAGTTATAGAACAAACCAAGCTGACTATATGCAAAAAACACTTCAAATTAAAGGTGCAGCTAACAGTTACGTTAGTAATCCATTATTCTGATGACTAATCAAATGAGCAGATGTAAAATATTGGCACATTTCGCAGATTTTTCACTTAATTACTGCAAATAAAGAAAGAAAGGAAGGAAGCAAGGAAGGGATGGGAGAAAGGAAAGATAGATGGAAGGAAAGAAAGGAACACAATTTAGAAAGAAAGGATGGAAAGATGTTTGGAAGTATGGAAGAAAAGAACGAACGAAAGAATGAAGGAAAGAAGGAACAAATAAAGAAAGTAAGTTACGAAGGAAGAAAAAGGAATAAAGAAAGAAGGAAGTTCAAAAGGCAGGAAAGAAGAAAAAAGGAAGAAAAGATCTGGTATGAAAGAAAAAAAAAATCAGGTTCCATTTTTTAAGTCATGTTGCCCAAAAACCATTTCTTATCTACATGTGACCAAATGTTAACAATCTGAAGCGTGTCTTACCGGCGCTGGAGAGTCAGGAGAAGACTCCTCTTCCTCCTCCTCTTCCTCCTCCTCCGGCTCCGTCTGTGTCTGCTCATCTTCCTGCTCTTGGACCGGACTCGGCTCTGTGGCAGGAGGAGTTTCTGCCGTTTGCTCCTCGTCTGTGCTGGTTTCCTCCGTTTCAGACGGCTGAATATCCGTGGATTGGTCCTCCAGTAGGCTTTCGGGGTTGGATTCTAGTAGTTCTTCTGCTTGCTGTTCAGTTGGGCTGTTGTCTGTTGGGCTGTCGAGCTGTGCAGCCTTCAGAGCCGCTGACAATACTTGAACTTGAGCTGGGAGGTAAACCACATCTGTAATTACATCTGCATTCCCAGAAGTCTCACCGTCTCACATTCCGGCATCAAACACTCACCTTGCACATCTGGATCATCAATGTGAGGTTGCAAACAATCCAAAACCTTCTGGATCTGATCACTGGTAGCTTTCCCATGGCTGGATTTAGACTCTGAACAGTTTTCTTCTGGTTCCTCCTCTTCTACCTTTTCCTCCGTCCCTTCCTCTGATGTCTGACAGTTTAGCATCTCCAGATCCTTGCTGATGTCAGGTAGAGGCTCTCTCCAGTAGTTGAAAGAGTTAAAGCTGTCGTCGGCCTGCTCCGTCTCTTTTGTATTTTTAGCATTGTTTGTAACCAGGGGGCTGTCTGTCACAGCCAAGCCGGGAAAAGAAAAATGGCCTTGGTCTTCGAGGTGGTTCAAGTCCTCGCAGTCTGGCGTTGCCACGTGCTCCGGCGACGGCGTGGCTCGGCCGTCCTGGTTGGGGGGCGTGTGTGTGATGGCTCTGTCTTTGTGGCAGCTGCTAATGTCGGAACAGTTCAGGGAGTTCAGAGAGCAGTTGCTGCAAAGAAATACAAGTTCAGAAACAATCAGTGCTTGCCATTTTGGTAACTTTACAAAATTATATCTGAAGTAGACAGGGTGGTTCGTTTGGGGAGGTGCGAATGTGCAATCAAACTCAAAAAAGCTCAGTTTGGTTGTAGTGAACTCTTGTGTGGTTCGAACGCACATTTGAACACCAAACTGACTGGAAACCACTCCAAAAGCAGGAAGCAAACTATAATGCAGGGCATTCTGGGTAAATTCAATTAAATCTAAATAGTCCAAGTCTAGCACTTGTGGCAGAAATGGGCCATGGTGTTCAACCAATGAGAAATCCTAAACGCGTAAAATTCAACACCAGAAATGGTGCAACACTGAGCGCAAAGAAGTTACACTCAGTCTTCTTCAAAGGTTTTCAGTGATTTTTGATGCAGCGCCGCCACAGGTGAGGAAGTGAACAATTGTTATCAAACAATCCAATTAGTTTGGATTGTTTGACAAAGCCAACCGCACCGGATGATAATATAACAAATACTGCAATTTTGGTTCCCAATCGAACTGATTCTACTGGACTATCAGGTGTGAAACTCCCCTAAAAATCTCTACAAGCAAGAGTTCTATGAGTTTAAGAGTTTCATTTGTATAAACAATAAAATCTGTCTATGTCTATTTCTTTGGTAATGAAACTTATCACAGATGAAGAGAAGAACAGGCTGACAGTCATGTCTCATTAATAACCGTGATTCATTCAACCAGTGACTAAGGTGCAGCTTCCTCAGCCAAGAAAACATCCGATCTAGTCTGTCTGAAGCAAAAATGTGACAAATTTGTGCATGACAAACTATTACCACACACATTTCCTAAAAAAAAGAAAAAAAAACTTTGTAACTCATTAATCATATCTGCTTTCTACTGGACAGCAGAAAGCAAATTTCACAAGTTCCCTGTAGAAACCAACAGTCCTCGACAATTGAGGTATCCATGAAACGTAGCAGAATTATTCTCGCAAATCTTTTTCAGCATCTGCAGGAATCTTAACGCTGATCTTTATGAATAATAATTGGACAATAATTACAGCTTTTAAAGGGGAATTGGATTGTTTTATTAGAACGGAGCGCGGTCAAAAAGGGATTGCTTTGTGCCACACCGACCCTCCTGGTGGGTTGTGTTAAATAAAGGCACCACTAATCTGAAACCAACTTCCAGAAAACTGCAATACAGCTGAAACACTGAGTTCTTTTTAAATGAAGGCTAAAACTCCACCTGCTTAGAGTTACTTTTTGACCATTTTAACATGTTGAACCATATTAATTAGGACCAGGACCATCTCAATGCTAAACTTGTTGCAGCAGCGTTTCTAAAGTAGTATTTTTTCAAAGTAGTACCATAAATGATCCTTGGTTCCTGAAACACTTGAATCAGTACAACAACCCCTTGAACCAGTCTGAGGGTTGAATGACCTAAATAACAGATCAAAAACAGTAAAACTCTGTTGTTAAACTTAAATGTCTATTTTTTCAATAGTTTAGCAGTAAAAAGATTAAATGAATTGCAAATGCTACTTACAGTGTCGATATAAAGTTTGATTAAAATGTAACTAATTGTGATTAATTCATTGTCACCACTAGTTTTAATACATCTAAATCAATCAGTAATCTGAAGGAATGACACTCAAACATCAAGACAGTTAATCTCTTTACTTAAGAGTGATGGTTTATTGTCTCGGATTAAATAACTCGCTGTAAGACTTCCTGTTGTCCTGTAGAAACATCTTTTCTACTTTTAACTTGCAGCATTGTGCTGATGAGAAGGAAACTAAAGCTGCCATCCAATCCGTGGCTCCTGATTCAGCAGTTATAAAGGGAAAGCAGTGCTTCTTTTCAAACACAAACAAAACAACGCCTTTTCCTTCGATGGGGCGCTAAAGTTGGATGGAGAACTCTTAAGCAACTTGAGGCTATGAGTAAAAGTGGTGTTGAAAGAAGTTACGTGGCTACTGCTTTGCAACATGTTGAAATGAACGGTTTTGCTCAAATGTAGACATTTTGGAAAGCTTTTAGAACAAACATGACATAGAACACCTACATGTGATCCAGAGTCATTATAATAAAAGTTCAGTGATGGTCTTACTTGTCCGTTGTACACCTGGGGACCTCTGGAAGAGCACCATCTTCCCTGAAATGAAGGCCTGTGCTGGAGGGGTTGGCAAAGGTGGAGATGAATCTCCCCAGAGACTGAAAGGCAGCCTGTCGCACCTGAAGGTGGAAAAAGTTTGTTTTTACAAGACTTAATGAGTTAAGAAACCACAATATTAGATAACATATAATTTGAGGATGAAGCCATTTTAAATGGCGCCATTTCCTCTTTTTTAAATTTTAACTGTCACAATAAATGTCCCAATCATTTTGACGCAATTATTTACACCGCAAACATTTTCCCCAGTTTGTGAGACTCACCCAACGTGATTGGTCACTGATGAGGTTGATGAACAGCGGGGACAGTTTTGAGCGTCGCACCTCTGGAGAGGTGGAGTTGGAGACGGTCATGAAGCACTCAGCACACGCTTTCCTGATGCCCCAAAGGCTGTCGGAGCACAGGTTGAAGAACTTCGGCATCTGCGTTAAAAATACAAAACAAACTGAGATTTGTTGATAGGGACAAAATTTAAAAAACCAGTATGAAAACAAATGTTGTAAAAAGTATTCTGAAGTCTCTCACCAGAAGTTTTTCTGTTGCTTCCTGACCAACAATAGAGCAAAATTCCCCAAAATTCCCTGCACACACCTGTGACAAGCATGATGGGGAGAAAACGGGGTCAAACACTTCAGACAAAATTTAATAGTTTAAGTATGTTTTGATGAGATGTACTGTGATTATTATCACAGTACATAAATTTGTGCATGGGGGCATAATTAAAACAGAATTACAAAGGGAAAAAATAAAATACTTGGCAATGTTTAACCACATTTGCAGCCCTGACACCAACTGGCACCAGTTAGACAGAATTAACATTCCAGGGGGGAAACAACGGCGTAGTGTCAGCAAAGCCGCTGGACGAAACAGAACTGAGGCTGATTCACAGACTGATTGAATTCACACTGACAGAGCAACACAAACAGAATTAAACTTGACCTCAAATGCCTGCTGTCTGAGCCGTGCTTTAGGCTGCAACACAACAACTAACCTACAAATCATCTTCAGATTTCTGAATGTGAAAAAGGAAAGATTTTACCTTGCGCACTTGGAAGAGTCTGGCATCGCTGCAGAGGTCGCAGAAGCGTAGCAGCAGCAGATGCTCCACTGTGTCTTTGCTCAACATGGTGACAACTTTACACATGATCTGTGTGACGGAACAAAAGCACATCAGGAGCTCAAGTAAAAGGAGGTCAATAAAAGTCATCTAAATCAAACTGGGTTTATTTCTATGCATTGATGGTCTGTAATGATAACATAAGAAAAAAGAAATGGGTCAAATGAATAAATGTTTCTTACAGCAACTGCCTCAATTTTGTAGTCATCATCACTGCTTGGTTCTGTCAACTCGAGCAGAACAGGACAAACTTTGGTCTCCATGTCAGCTTTAGAGATGAGGCCCTGCTCCAACAAAACCAGTAGCGCTGCCTGACTCGTCTTCCGCACCTGCAAACGATGAATGGGTCGATTGTTAAGTCAACATGCAAAAACACAAATGCTCCGTTTTTAAAATCCCCAAAACATACTTATTTGTACTTAAAATGCTTTGCTTAGTTTTGCAGTTCACCTAAAGAAGTTATTTATTTGAAACCTACCTGGTTATTTGGATCTGTAAGATACCGGACCACAATGGGTACCAAGTATCTTGAGAAGGCGGCTGGGAAATTCGGCCGACTCTCATGCAAAAACATGGCAATATTAGGAACTTGCTCCATCAGCTCCGATCGCACAGTGGGCTCTAAGCACACACATCACAGCTTCAATTTAATAAACCAAAATAAAACAAGGCAGCAGAAACAAAAAATGACAAGAAAATACATCTACCTCCATCCTCTGACATTCTGGCAATTGTCTCCATGACACTGATAAAGTCATTTTCATTGTCACTGAACTCTCGAAGCACATCAAGCAGGCCGCGCGCCACGATCTGCCTAGAAAGCAACAGCTCCAAGTTAGTGGTATGCCTGCCAATACCTACAAGGGTCAAGTTCGCAAAGCACAACACGCAGCTCCAAAAGCAACGCCAAGTACATTCCACACAATTCTATTTCAAAATAAGAGGATGGCTTAGCCCTGCACATCAGAGCATAAAAAGCATGAAGACAACAGCTGGAATCAGTAGCTGCAGGGCCACATGAGACAAAAACAAAAGACTTTAGAACTGTGGGGTTATTTATGAAAGATGCATCAGGCAAAAACAGACTGAAGAACATAGCTATCTTTAAAATTAAAGAAATTCTACATATAAAGAGGGAGAGGTAAGGAAACATTCAAACACTTTTCTGACATTCTTTCACTGAAATTCATTTCAGTAAATCTTCAAAAAGTGTTGCTATCACATAATTTCACTACGTAACTTAATGCAATTTATTATTTGGACCATGAACATTATTTTTTTTTATTGCTGCACAATTTCCTAGTAATGATTGACTCCGGTTAATATCCCTTCCATGTAAATACTGATTTATTTGTTGACGTCTCCTTGTTGCAAAGACGCCAAAATTATGCTGCAGATAAAGAGATTTTTAAAATTTGTTTCCCTTTAACTAATGCATATTTTTACTATTCATGATTTTTTAGAGAACACAAGTGAGTATCATTTGGTGAAAACAGAAATACTGCTGTATTAAGAATATTTGTTACTTCTGATAAAATAAAAAGCAAAGATGGTCTTCCCTTTTTAAGAGGGAGAATTGTCTGAGAATTTGTTTGATTCTCAGACAAATGTTAGATTGTTTCCTCTCTAAAACTATATCAGCAGCAAACAGGTCAAGCACAGGTTGCAAAAGAGGTGGTGATCTTAGTGTTTGACCTGTTTTTAGAGGACAGGAGGATTAGCCGACTGAACACAGAACTCAACTTACCTGTTGAACGTATTTTCGCTGAAGGCGTACTTCTCTAGCCTTCCCAGAGGAGTTAGGTTGTCTTGTCCAGCATCGAGGAATGCTGTGATACGGATGCCATCGCAATCTGCAGCGTAATCATCAAATCCAACTATGGGTGGAAAAAAAAATATTTTGTTGTAAGCTAGATCAAAGTCAAGAAAAATGTATAGAACAGCAGTCTCATGTGACATTATAAAAAGTTTTATGTCAGAGGTAAATAGCAGGATTTTCTTGAGCATGAATATTCTGCAATTTAATAAGATTTACTTGTGTTTAATTAATTTGGCTGATGTAAATTAGACGCGTTAGGCTGTAAAATTGCAATGATAGCACAGTATCAACGCTAAAAAGTTGTCCAAAAACAAAAGAACCTCTAGGCAGAATAAAATTCATTGTGTTTTTTTTTAAATATATTATATATTTAAATATATATGTCTATATTTTGTCATACAAATTTATTGATATACTTACAATCGTCCAGATCATCATGGCCATCTTCAAAGTATAAAGATAGACCTGCAACAATAAAACAGTAGGTGGGGAGTTGCATTTATAAAATAAATATAAACGTTTGGTGAGCAAGAGTGTTGCATCAGGTGTGACTGACTGCATTTGATCTTTTATTGTGCCTACAATTTAAATTTTAACACACTTTATGATTAAAACTTTGGTGCATAAGATAATTTCTCTCAACTCAACATCTAAATTATCTTTTAGATACATAACTACACTTTTGCTTTACTAATTCATATTTTGTTTGATATATTTTAGTATACTTTGATATTACATTTCATATCAAAACATTTTTACTAAACAGAGCTCTTAGAATAAAATCAGAGGTTTTCAGGCTGAAGTTGTTTGGAAGATTTGCAGTTCAAAGGTGGATAATTCAATTATGTGACAAGAAGATCATGGGATCCAGTATAATATTTAGTAGCATTATCGCAATTGAAAAAGCCTCATATCCAGTTCATCTCTCCTGTAATAAGAAGTTCAGTCTGCTTATTTATTTTTAAATCCAATAAAGGAATTACACAGAGAATATATATGACCCATATAATTTATTCTGGCTTAATAAAATAACAGATATGCTTAAAAATGATCGAATAACCAAAACATTGAATCTTAACTGTTTTATCATGTCAGCGAGTGCAGCAAACACAATAATAATAATTTTGGATGCAGCATTTTATTAGGAGACCATGTATTCATGCTGAAAATTGATAATATATTGGAATAGTTGGATGGATTAACCGCCTTTAATACCCTCAAGTAATGTATGTTTATAGTAGCTGAGATTTTAAAACTAAATTAAGAGTTTCAGGAAACTTAAAAAAAATTGTAGTTTAGCCAATAATGATATAATCATTAAGATTTTCAGCAAAAAGCACTATTAATAAATGTTTCCCTACAAATAACATTACAGAGTGACAAGAAGAGAACCTGTTATAAGCCTTACAATTCATTACTTGTATCTACCAATTACTCGATCTAATTATTTATAAGAAACCTGATAATGATCTCAAAACTCTAAAATCTTTCTCAAAAACAAAAAATCTGTAGCCAACATAAAACAATGATAAAGAAATATTATCTGCATGAGTATTGATACAACCGACTGCGATATGTTTAACTACTTTATGCTATTATATGTTCCAAATTACAATGTTTGTCCTTTATTTTATGTACATGTATATTGTTATGTACGTAGCCTATTTTACTAATAAAGAACTACTGCTGATGGGACATTTCCTGCATTGACCAACACACTCTAAACCTACTGGATTTTATTGGAGAACAAATAAAAAATACGACTTTTTATACCATTCAGTAATAGAGACATCATAACACCAGAAAGTTCAAAGAGGAGCCCCGAAAAGGATCCAGGAGGCGAAGCCTGTGTTTACAGCTGTTGAGGCTAAGGAATGTGCTCCAGATTTAAAACACCCTAAAACTTGGAACGATGTTATGGAGCTGGTGTTTTACAACTTAAATAGAAAACGTTGCGATAGACTTTAAGGCACCAGCAATATACCCAACGACCAAAAACAAACAATACACTTTGTTATGATATATGGCAGGATTTGTCAGCTTATGGCTGACACTGACTGTGGCTACCCGGCTAACGCTAGCTAAGTTAACTCGATAGCATTTGCTTTTACAACAGGTCGAAAATCATCCAAACAAAAGAGATAATCTGTATTTAAATAAAACTAACTCGGTGATTTTATAATACGACATTCTCAATTTGAAAATAAATTATCAAAGCACGCTTCTGAAACGACCCATTTCGACACTCCTGATTAGCTTTCGTTAGCGAATAGGCTAGTCTTGCTAAGTCTGCTAACACGGGTTGTCCAAGCCCTGCTCTAGAGTCGGCTTTCCTAATTTACCATTACACCAAACAAGTGGTGAAATAGTTACTGCAGTTCAAGTAATACATCTCTGAACAATAAAATGGCACTTTATCTAGAACAAAAAAATCCAAAAGTTTGTAAGAAAATATGGTTTAAAAAAGTGTTATTACCTGCCATCTTGAGTATCGGCTCGGCTCTGCGGGCTGCCTATCTGCCTTCTAATGCGCTTCCGACGACAGGGGTGCTTTTCATGGCAGGGGTGCCTTTTTCGATACAACACCGTCCGCCGTCCCGTTATGGGCTGTCACTCAAACACGGCAACAAACTACTTCCTGAAAGTACTTCCCGACGCTGCCCTTTACCGACTAATTATGTTTTAAACAACTACTGCTACTGTTGTTTTGCAGCTCTGGTACAAACTCGACATAACTGAGCAAAAACTGAGCTTTTCTTTGTGCGCCTTCAAACAAAAAAAGAGAGGCTATACAGTCACGTGACTATATGCCGTAGTTCAAGATGGAGCCTGCGCGACTCAGCGGCTTCGCAGTTAGCTAGCTAGCTACCTACAATAATGACAATATTTAATGAAATAGGAACGACTTCGAGACGTTTTGATGCGTACTGTGGGATTTTTTGCCTAAATCAGGATGTCCATTTACAGTTTTTGTTCACTATGAAGCTATAGTGTTTGCAAACAGAGACCACCTGAAGAATATTCAGATAAGAGAGAAGAGGAGAAAATTGTACATAACCTCAATCTAATCTCGCTTTAAGATACAACGACATGGCACTGAGAGAGCTGAAAGTTTGTCTCCTTGGGGTAAGTCACGGTGTCGATTTGTTTAAGGATAAGACTTATGTATTTGTGATGTTCCAGATCTGTACTTACGTTTGTAATCAAAACTACATTCAATATGATCTGACGTGAAGGTTTAGCAGGTACACTTTAAACATGATTTTAGGTAATTAATCGTCTTGTATACTATTCAATTTGCCATAAATACTATTCTTATATGTACGATAAGCACCTTGAATTATCAGCCTGTATACCTAATTAATAGGTTAATGACACAATGAGAATATCAGAAAAAAAGAACGAGGACAGTCAACCAGCTAAAAATATTCTATCAGTAAAGACGGAAATAATCTGTCAGTAGCTTAATTTAAACTACTGACTTTTTTGCCTAAGGAAATAATATAAGCTCATGGTTCCTGTTTAATTCTCTGTAATGTAGCAGTCAAGAAGAAAATGCCACAAAATAGCTTTTGTCCATGCTTAATACAAACTCTCTTTGTTTTGTTTCTGCAGGATACTGGAGTTGGAAAATCAAGTATTGTTTGTAGATTTGTGGAGGACAGCTTTGACCCAAATATCAACCCAACTATTGGGTAAGTTTCCCCTGTGGCTTATATACTGTCACCTTTTTGGTGGCTTTGGGAGAATGCTTTCTTAAATGGTTGGTATTGATTTCAGTAAAAGCTGAAAAGAAGCATTTTGTTGACAGGAAATGGGGCTATCTTATTGTCAAACATTTGATAATTATTTTAAAATGATTGTTTGCCAAAGTCTTTATGACAATATGCAAGTTTTCTGTTTCTTATTAGATGCAAACTAGGTCAACTGGGTGTTTTTAAGTATAATTTTGATTTTTAATTAAGAAAATAACTTAATAAGGCTATTAATAAAAATACCCCAAAACTATTATCCATCCATCCACTGTGTTTATAGTTACAACAACTTTTAATTCTCATTTGGCATCAATAGAGTATTTTTGAATTGCTTTGAATTAAATTTATCTGAGATCAGGACATAAAAGTCACAGCCTGGAAAAGAGAAAACCAAATGTCCCTCTTCCCAGCATCACTTTTCATGTCATTTTGTGGGATTTCTAGGTGTTCCTAGATCAGAAAGAAATTATCGTCCCTCCAGTGTGTTCATGTGTCTGCTCCAGGCTCTCCACCCAGTTGAATGGGCTTGAGAAATCTCAAAAAGGCGTCCTGAAGAGATGCCTGAAACACTTGAGCTCACCCGTTTTGGTGCAGATGACCAGCATCATCCCACTTGGATGACACATCTCTTACCCAACCTCTGGTCTGAGTCTGACTTCTCTCCAGCTGATTTCAGCCATTTGTGTCCAGCTTCATGAATCACTTGTCATACCATAAGTCATTGCTGGAATGTTGATAGACCAGAATATTGAGACGTTTGGCTTTCGACTCGTCTAGTTCATTATCTCAACAGACCACAGCAATCCATCGTCACTGTTCATAAAACAAAAGGAGCATTCCGTCTTTTCTTTGGTAAAAAATAATGGCCTCTGACTTAGAGCTGGCTTTAATTCCAGCTACTTGGCACTCAACTTCCTGTTGAAGACCATGGCTTGAAAATGCAAACACACATGACAACCAAATAATTGGTGAAAAACAAACACTCTGATCTTCCTAAAACAGCCTCCTGTCTAATACTACACCTTGAGACTATAAACGGGATCTGGAATACTGGGCAGTTCTAGGAGAGTCAAATCCGCACAGCGAACAAGATTGATTTTGAAAAGTCACAAAATATTTTTAAATGCAGCTAAAATAAATGCCATCTGATCAACCTAGAAAAATAAAAAAAGTAATAATAATTAAAATATGATGTTAAAAATGTTTTTTTATTATTTACATATTGATCAGAAATTAAGTAGAAATATTTCAAGAGGGTATAATAAAAAAGTAAAGATGGTATCAACAGTTATCAGACATTTATTGACTTTATTTTCTTGAGCCTCAAAATAAACCCATCCAAGATTTTCAAATTAATTTATTAATCATCTGCTCACTGTTTCCAACAGCGCATCGTTCATGACCAAGACAGTGCAATACCAAAACGAGATGCATAAATTCCTAATCTGGGACACGGCAGGACAGGAGCGGGTAAGTATTTTTTAATTTAGTTACTCTGAAGTTGAAGTATAACAAAATTTCCATGTATTTCTAAAGCAAGTGAAATAGTTATGTAGCTCTAACTCTGTGTGTGAGCCCTTGCAGTTAGCCAATTCTTCTGAAAGGGGGCAACATTTTCCTTTCTATAGAAGGAGGTCTGGAATATTGTCTGTGGTATTTTTTTTAAAATCGGAGATGGATATTTGTTTTGTTTGAAAGCCAAATACAAATCTACCATATTTTGTACTTTGATGTTTCTGGTACATGTTTGTCTCAAAATGATGTCACCCCTGTCACAAACTTGACATTTGTTCATATATAAATGCATTTCTTTTCTTAAAATATCTTCTTGGAGGTTATAGAAGACATATAGAATAAAAGCAAATCCACACTGAAAGTGAAACCAGCCCAGTGACAGTTGTTTTGTTTTTTTGTGTGAAAGGAGCAGCTTTCTCCTTTGACTCACTGTCTAACTCCTGTCTCTCTGTGCCTTAGATATCCAACATCACTTCCCTTTTTTCCTCTGAACTTCCCTTTCTCAAGCTCAACCTTCTGCTATTGTAATGTTTTGTCCCCTGCGTCAGCGCTCTCCACAGAGCTGAGATAAGATACGGCTCGTCTTTCATCCTCCTTCCCTCTGGAGGATTCCTCTTCCTTGTGCTCTTCAGGGGACATCCGTGCAGACCTATTTAAGATAAGACAGGAGGATGAACTCAGCGTCTCAGCCCTGTGGCGTGTGCTGCTGTTTCTGGTGTATCTTATCTGACGCTTTCTGCCACTCTACATCAGACTGTCCCCTGTTTTTGTTTTTTTACTTTTTAATTAGGGCTGCAAATAATTATTTGAGAAAGCGATTATTCTTTTGCGAATTCTGATGATTAATTGAATAACTAGATAAAAAATATTGCTGCAGATTTTTACACAACAGTAAAAATACATAACCAAGTAAATCAGTTCCTTTTTTGAATAAGAAAATAAATAATTTATTCCCTAAAATGCAGTAACATAGCATCCCTCTATACAGTCATTTGTAGCAAAGGATGCAGGATGTTTCAGCCCCATTTCTTATGCACAACCATTTCAACCTCTTGATCCCTTAACAAGTCCACATGTATAAATGTAAAAGAGTCAAATGCACCATGTGTTCCTGGGTTCCTGTTTCTACAAAGCGGCTGTGGTATCTAAAGGCCTTGTTTTCTAATCTCTTTGAAGCTTTGGCTCGTCAAAATCTGACAAATTGCAAGAAAGGAATACAAAACCAGCTGAAACATAAGTGCAGCAAGGGAAGTCTCTTAGATTCCCCAAGTTCAGCATTCGTATCTTAAAATCAGATCAGGCATCAAGCGACAACTGATCCCAACTGTAACCCACCAACCTTCCACCTCTGACTGCCCTGTTTCACAGAAATCAAGCGAAGTGAAGCCTCACATCCACTTGGAAAAAGAAAGTCCCTTTCGTACACCCAGCTTGTGGTTTCAGCTATTAATCAGCTCTGCCAGGGTATCACTGTAGTTGTTTTTTTTGCTTCTGTGTGGCCAGACGTCTGGCCTCGGTGTGATTGCTCTTTGGGTTCAGGCGGCGATCGACCACACAGGTCTTGCTGTGGCGAAGCCCCAACACTCGCCAGCGAAACAGACAGAGCTCTTCTCGGTGCCGCTGCCAAAATATCCCAAGCTGGATTCCTGCTGCTAGACTTTAGGCCAGTAACAACTGTAATTATGGGGAATGTGTGCTTTTCTGAGGTAACATTGTCACTCTAAGACGAATGGTTTGTTTTGTTCTATTGTGAAGGAAAACTGAATTGCCGTACAGGCTGGGTCACCCAGGATTTCGAGTTTCTGGGTCGTTGCTTTCCAAATAGATATCATTAGCTGATGTGTGACACTTGAATCAGCTGCAGAGTTACCCGTTGAAACCAGAAGTTTACATACACAGGATAAATAGATTAACAAAAATTCTCACTGTCTGAAGGAAAATAAGACCAAACTTCACTTGTTTTAGGTCAGTTAGAATTGCTAAATGTCAGAATAATGAGAAAATACAGATATTCATTTATTAACGTCATTGTACATATTTTTAAGTACTTGATTGCATTGCCTTTTAGCTGTTTGACTTGAGTCATGCTTTTAGGGTCTCCTTTCCCAAGTTTCTCACAATAGTTTGCTGAAGTTCTGGTCCTAGTTCTGGTCCGCTCCTCCTAACAGAACTGGTGTAAGTGAGTCAGGTTTGTAGTTTAGTTATTAGACTGATACCAATATGTTGAAAATGAACAAATATTGTTAAATATCTTTTTACTTTTTATTCACAAGATCAGAAAATAAGTCATTGTTTTTGCTGGATGCTTCAACAGCAAAAAGAGTAAAAAAACCTCTACATACTGTATTAAAGGTTTTCTTTCAAGTGACAGTACTTTAATGCTGTAATGCTGAAAGTAGATAATACCTACCAACAATATGTAAGACACTTTAAACAAATCAGTCTTTTATTTCAGTAGCACAATCTCACACATCCAATAGAAAAATAGTAATTTCCTTTAGAGGAATCCAAACACTACGGAGCGGGCTTATTAATGAGGTCAGGTCTGAGCTGGGGAGAGCTTTATCTTTAAACACCAGAACCGGGTAAATCAGAGTTTACACATTCTGCACAGGCTGTTCTGATCAAGGAGTGTCTCCATGATGCATTTGGTTTAGATCAAATTTGTGATCGTTCATAAATGTCTACTTGTTAACATCTTTTGACACTTTCTGCTCCTTTTCCCCTTGATAACATCTGAACGTGTAAGGAGAAAGGACTTGCACTGCTTGACTTTTTAAAAACACACCTTTTTTGTGTTGATCAGAGTTTTATTTCACTTGCTACAGTCCAGCTTAGTCGTGTCATTTCTTTTCTGCGTCAGAGTCTATGAAAAACCACAATCTGTAGGAGGTAATCATGTAAAACTGTGCAGTTATACTGAACTGATATATTTAGCATTCGCATATCACAAAATGAATGACAGAAAGGAAATGAAGGTCCTCATTGACGCATCAGCGTCGATTGTTTGTAATAGGATTATTTACAGTCACATTCTTCATTCTAAATCCTCTCACATTTCATTGGATTTTAAGCTATTTTCAGGATTGACGATGTCAGAGTATAAAAACGGTTTAAGCAGAGATTAAACTCACTGCACAGTTTAAACTCATCATTTATGTCGCTTCTCTTTCAAAGGTCCACACAGCATTGTTTATTTTTTTTTTTTTAAACAGCGTTTCTCATCTTCCCATAGTTTCGTGCTCTGGCGCCGATGTACTACAGAGGTTCAGCGGCGGCCATCATTGTTTATGACATCACAAAAGAGGTGATTTTAACTTTTCTTTTTTCAACTAATTAGCTTTTTACATTCATTGCATTTGTGCGAAAAGAAATAAAAGTTCTTTAAGAGAACAAAACCTTGCAAACGATAACATTTTTGAAATTAATTTATGCATTTTGACATGAGAGTGGCACCAATCTGGTTCTTATAATGCTTCAGTTTTCCTGTTGTCCATGGAGACTGAACTTTATGCGCCTCTCCATGCATTTTTCATTTATATTAACATACTTCTTGTCTCATCAGGATTCCTTCCAAACTCTGAAGAACTGGGTGAAAGAGCTTCGCCAGCATGGACCTCCTAATATAGTGGTCGCCATTGCTGGCAACAAATGTGACCTGTTAGACTCCAGGTGAACTTTTGCTTGATCTTATAGTTATGTTTTAAAGTTATCTGATGATTATTACTCCCAATTCACAGCAATAAAGAAAGGGAGGCAATCACATTTCAAAAAACTCTCGATTTTTCCTTCAAAATTATACAAAAGGGATTTTGTTAATAATTTATTTCACTGTTATCTTCTTGAACATTGATAAACACTCTCCCTTCTCCATCTGTTAAATTGTGAAATCTTCTTTTTTATCAGAAAAAAAGAAGTGATGCTTAGCGAGAGAATTGGTTTGCAGGTTGCTAAACATTGTTTTTAATATATCTCGTATGTTTACAGAGAAGTGCCAGAAAAAGATGCCAAGGACTATGCTGATTCCATCCATGCAATCTTTGTGGAAACCAGCGCCAAGAATGCCATAAACATCAACGAGGTGTTTGTAGAGATAAGTGAGTTTTCTGCTCTCCACCTCAGCATAACTCCTCATATAATTATTATTTTCTGTTTCTGAAAGCAGATACCTTTTTGAATAATTTATGATTTTTTTTTTTATAAAAAAATGTTTCAAGAGTTTTGTAAATAAGTCGACAAGTAAAACAAAAGTGAAATATATTCTTTTTGGTCCGTTAAAAGATTATTTACAGTCTGATATTTATATTTCAACCATTTCATTTGGATTTTACATGATAAACTAACACAATGTAGCACATAATTGCAAAGTAGAAGGAAAACTAATGAGTGTGGTGTGTATTTGTAATTAGTTCCTCTTAGCCAGTACTCAGATAGATGTATGGCTCAGTGAGCATTCATTTAGTTCAGATTCTCCATTGGATGTAGGTCTTGATGTTAATTTGCTCATTCTAACATAAATTTGCTTTTATCTAAGCCAGTTGTGCCCAAACTTTTTGTTGTATGGGCCAAAATTGTCAAGAAAGAGTGGCCGGGGCCTAAAAACATACACTTCTTTTTTAAATGCTCAAAATAAATTTTATGTGCTATATATTAGTTAAAAGAGTAAAGTAGTTGGATATTTGTAGAAAATGTATGTGCAAATTATTGCAGATCAAAAAAGACATTTAGGTACAAAGTCTGCTTTCAGATAAAAGTCTAATTTATGGTCAATTACCAAAAAATAAGACCAAGGTGTAGTTATTAAAGAAAAATACTTTGCATTGTCCTCTTCACCTTTACTGTTGTAAAAGTAAACAAAGACTCTTCCTGCATCAGCCATCTGTGCTGGTGGGAAGTGGGGGGGGGGGCTCTACTGGCCCATGGGCCACACTTTGAACATCCCTGATCTAAAGCAATGGTTAGGGTGGTTGTTCTGCTAGGAGGTGACCTTTAACCCCATATTTTTGCAGCCTCTAACAGTTTTTCTTCCATAATTTCCTTTGTGTTATCAGAGCAACATCCCTGCTACTTCTGATTAAAAACATCCCCACACCATGATGCTGTCACCATCTTGTTTCACAGCTTGGGTTGTGTATTCAGGGTGGTTTGCAGTGTTGGTTTTACTCCAGACGTAGTATTTTACATGCAAGCTAAAAATTTACATTTCAGTCTCATTTTACTAGAGCACCATGCGGCTCGTTGCTTTGCCTGTATGTTAAGGTGGACGGTCATTTTTGTTTGAACAGCGCTCTCTCTTCAAAGCCTGGGATATTTTTTGGAAACCTATCCTGTCTGCTGTGTTAGTACCTTCACAGATCAGCTGGATTTATACTGAGATTAAACTAAACACTATTTAAATAACTCCACTTACTTATAAGGGGGATTCTGATATCAGATTTTTTTGCACAGCAAAACTAGCTAAATATAAAATACACAAGAATTTACTTTCTTGTAATTCTGCACTACTGATTATTGGTTTATTGCATACAATCTCAGTATTGTGACAAAATGTGAAGGCTCATACCAACATGTCAGTGTGTTTCCTTGCAGGTAAGAGGATCCCTGTTGCTGACAGTGCAGCAGCAACATCAGGCAAAAGTTTCAAATTGGGACGGCAGGTCTCAGAGTCCCGACGGACGTGCTGCTGATAATTTTGGTGGCTGAACTCGACGCGACCTAAGAACTAAATGTTACCCACCCCGCTATTCTCCTGGTGTGCTTCAGCTTAAAGACACAACACACTATAAAATGTTTTTTTTAAAAACCCCAACAAACACTCATATCTGGTCACTGCAGCTTGACTAGGACAGCAGCAGCCAAGACCTTTTTTTTTTTTTTGCAAAATATGATTTGTATTAAAAATGATTGAGGAAGAACTTTTCAGGTTTTAAACCAAACTTTCATACCTTAATGGTGATAAGTGAAGCTTTCCAGTGTTCTCCGTGGAAGTCACTTATATTTGTACACTTGTACATTTGTAAAAAAGAAAACAACAATATTTTCTGTCAGCAAAAAAATTAATGATGCATTGAAGTAATTTTTTTTAAAAGTTCTAAGTTATTTTTTTTAGGCAAAAAAATAATCTCAGCTTCATGAAGGATCTCCACTTTGATGTTTATATGTAATTTATTTATATGCTCTTTTTATTGCGTGATTTTTATTTTGTTCCAAACAAAGCAACCCTGCTCCCCAAACCCACCACATGTTCACTAGATGCAAACAACAATCATGCAGCAAACAATGCAGAAATGAAAGACGTGTGGGAGTCTACTTCCTTTACACCGAGGGAATACTTCAACATTTTGGTTGAAAGGTGATGGGACATTTACACTTTGGTAAATGTCCCATTACTTCATGAAGTTTAATAAGTCCCAACTATTTTATGTACCTTGTCTAGAGTGTGGACTAAAATTAGAGTTGGTTTGCTGATGCATTATTAGGACAGATGCAGGCTAACCTGCGTTAAAAACGTGTGAAGTCAGTGTGCATGCCTGTTAGAAGTCCTTCTTTGAATGGCTGTTATTCTTCTCTCTTTGGCTTTGAAGAATAGTCTCTTTGGCACTTGTAAGGTTCCTGGGAATAATACGTTATTACTGTAATTTAACCTCTTTGATCAGAAGAACCTCACATGCAGCAGCTCTGTGTTTAATCAGAGCTTTAAACAGTGGCTAATTATTCTGTGTTAACGCCGCCATCTCCTGCCATCTGTTCTACATTTCCTCATTATAGTCACAGAAGACGCCCTCCACTTCACATCCCCGTGCTAACTGTTCATCCTTCTTTTACTTTCCAAACTGTTTAATGGGGAAAGTTTTTTTCACTGATTCTTTAATTGTCCAATAAGGATGTTTTCATCCTTCCTTTTTTTTTTTTTTTTCTTACCTAATCAGCACTGCCTTGCATGTCCAAGTGCTGTTTTACTACTTGGCTTGTGATGAAAATACTGAGATCTGGAAACGAGGCCTCGTTTAAAGAAAACTTTTATTTTAAAGCTCTGATCTCATATTAGCAAGTGAGAAAGCTTCATCAGACGTGGGTTTGCGTTAACAATGTTGACCCGTCACTGAACTTTGATCTGTATTTGACTCTAAATGACTGTGGGCTTGGATTTTCTTTTTTTTTTTTTTTTTTACTTTTTGTGCCTCATTCTTCTTTAACACCAGGGCCTTGATTCTTGCTTTAATTGTTGCACACAATATGATTTTTGGAGCCTTTTCTTGTCCTCTGCATGAATTTAATTCTGAGTTGCAGTGGTAGAGTAATTCACCCTTTCTTCTAGCATGAACTGGACTTTTTATCTTTGTATGTCCACAATTTGCTTTTTAGATCCAGTTGAAACTGCAACTGAAAGGGAACAAATGTTGGAATATTGAGACGGAAGCTCGAACTGCCTTTTTTCCCTTACTGTCAGTGTAAACCGCTCTTCCTCTTTCTCTAAGAGTTTAGCATAGATGTTGTATTGTGGTGTTTGGTCTATGTTTTGCTCAGACATACAACACCCTTCACACTTAATGACACTGTTGTAGAAGGAATAATTCTCATTTTTGTTGCATTTTTTTTGTCATATATCCAGTTGTTTTAAACAATTTTTTTTCTCTGGCTTATACTTAATTGGCCGGTTTAAATAAGTAACCATTTTGTTCTAGCTATTTTCTAACTTGCAAAGACCTGAGAACCTGAAAAAAAAAACACTCCTAGTTGTCTTGTTTGTCTATATCACAATTTTGGCAAATATGCAGAAAAGGGACAGCACTTTAGTAGTATAAACGCTGCACTTTGGTAAATGTCCCATCACTTGATGAAGTTTAATAAGTCCCAACTGTTATATGTACCTTGAGTTTTGTTTCTTTTTTACCTTTTAAGATTTTGGTGCCAAAGTCATTTTAGCACATTTACCCATCTTGACGATGTGATATGATTTACAGTTTCCTTATAACCCATATCTTTTCTCTGATTATTTCAACGGCGTGACATTAATAATGCACCAGTTTTGATTTTGTTGTTGAAATTAACAAAAAGTCTTGGGCTGGCCCTAGGAATCTGACCAACATGTAACATGTTCATTTTACAGTGTAGATATCAGCCATCAGATTGCACACAATTTAATTTCCTTACTCTTTATTTCCCGTTTTTTGTGCAAACACAATATCTCTGTACACCACATTGAGTACATATATCAGCAGTGTAGCAACTATATTTAGCTTTTTATTTTTTCATATTGATTGTAGCAAAATGCCTAAGACTTGTTTGCAGTGTGAGGCCAAATATGTGAAAAGGGATTTTTTTTTTTTTTTTCTTAATAAAACTTATTAAAAAAAAGACAGAATGAGTATGTTCTTTTTTCAAATGTAGTTGTTCATACTCAATAGAAATGTCTCCATTAGCCTTTGGAATACAGTAAGAATGTTGTCAGCGGTTTATTGTGTTTAGTTTTCTGCCAGCTTCTAGGCTATATATAAATATATATATAAAGTATAATATGACACTTGAGATGCGTGTTTAAGTGGCAGAAGGCTTTCAACACACTTTAAGTCATGGGGAAAAGTCAAAGCAATTATAGCTCTCTCCACTTACTAACACCCATTATAAAAATGTCTAAAAGCCTTTTAGATAAATTATTTATAGCAATAGCACAACTTCACACCAACAGATGCAGATTCTGCAGTCTTTCAACACTAAGCTCAATCATTATCCTCCTTACTGTGCAACAGGTGGCAAAATAAACTTGGATCCATCTCTAGACAATTACAGACAAGATTAATGCACTCCTTTTTTTAGTTTTAAACAGTCATTATGACGTCTAACCACTGCAACAAGCAACAAAGTATTGCTTCTTTTTTTTTTTTTTCTTTTACAATTGGGACTGATTAGCATTTCAAAAGCTTAAATAATACCTCAACTTTGACCCCAAACCCCAGAAGAACTGAAAAGACGGCTTCAGGGATTCAGAGAGACCAAACCATCTCGTATCCCTGACTCCTTCGTCTCTCTGCCCGACTTTCAGACAAATGAGCTGCAAAAGCAAATGAAGTGGATTTGCAGTGCTTTCTAACAACTGATGTTGTCATCCAGGACATGTTACTGTTTCCTGGAAGTGGAGCTGCTAGAATGTCAACCAGCAACTGGGTTCAGTCTGAGGCTTCATCAAATTTGTTGCAAGACTGACTGCTGCTGGAGATCTTTCCTTCTCCACAGCATCACCATCCACAACAACTCATGGAAGATGCTTGGATGACATGAGCTATGTAACTTTTCCTTTGGGATTTTAAATTGTATGCAATCTAAATGCCACATTCTCTTGTCTTTCCCATTTTGAAGAGTGGCTGAGAGAAATAGACTGCTGTATCTTGTCACATTTTTTTGCCCCAGGGAAACAAAGTAACATTCTTTATATGTTCTCCTTCACTGCAAAAACACAAACTAGTATTTTATCTAGTTTTTAGTGGACATATCTTGTTACACTTGAAATAAGAAAAAAGAAAACAGTAGATATAGGAGCTAGTTTTAAGTCAATAATTCTTGAATATTGATTAAAAAAAATAAATAAATCAGGTCCACTGACAGATATTTTTCATTTATGACATCAGAAAAATTTCTTGCTATAAGTGAAAAATTCTACCAGTAGGACTTTTATGAATATTCAAGAATTGTTGACTTTAAACAAGCTTCAGTATCTTGCTGAAAAGTTACTTGTAAGTTCATTTTGTCTTGTTTTGAGTGAAATAATATATTTGTGCCAGAAACTAAAGAAAAGTACTTGGTAAGATTTTTGCAGTGTTGAGAGGCAGAAGTGTCACAATCTAATAAAACATAATTTGCTTAACAAGTATGTAAAAATCTACAAATGGCTTATTTGTTGATGATGACTTATATAAGTATTAAAATTATTAACTGCAACTGGAGTCCAGTATGTGTGAAAGTCATGGATTCAGGGAAGTAATGGAAATAAAAAAAAAGTAGATTCAGAGCAGCAATGATGGAAAAATGCATTTCAATTAAATGTGTCAGTTTATGGAACAATGTTAGTGGAATAAAATAATCTAAATCTTTTCTGCATTTAGAAGAAATAGAAAATTAGTATGATGAAGTGATATTGTGTTGAATAAGCTCATGGTTTGTTGTGGATTTTTTTTGTATATTTAAAATATATTTGTAATAGTTTTTTTAGCTGAATAGCTAATTTATTTTATGTTAACAGAGAGTAGATATAACTTTATAATTCTCTATGCTCTGTAAGTTGTTACAAGATCTGATCCAAATAGTAAACTCATCACTCTCTTCAGGTGTTTTCCCCCAGGCTTTGAAAACAGCAGTTATCAAACCACT